GACATACCACATAGTTGCACAATTAACTTCCCGAACATCGAGGGCCAGTATTTCACAGGGTTAGCTGCTTTGATTCCTTGCGATCTTGCTACAGCAGGGAAAATGCAAAAGCGCATAATCGCGCCGGCCCTCCTGGTGCGTTCCAGCCTGGGTTCATATTTTTTGACACTGTGGTGGCACCATAAAATTAAAACTGCAGCCTTCACTATTTAGAAAAAACAGGTGACAGATGGAAGATGAGGGCATTTTTGAATGTAAACATTTTAAAATAAATGGCCAGCACACAGGCTGCCGGTGCGAAGATATGTTTTTTGCATAGTTCCCCGCTGATTTCCGTGGCTAACAGCACCGGTTTTTCGGCAGATTCTTCTAGCTAAAAGAATTGAGACTGACCGCCAGGACAGTTAGGAAACATCCTTTTAGAATCTCAGCTTCCTAGCTTTCCTGGTTTCCGAATTAGCAACTTACCTGCAAAAAAATTCACGGGCCCGTACGTGGGTACCATGCACGCTTGGTGCCTGGGTTTGAGCCCATTAACACCTAGGTAGATGGGGTATATTTCCCTAAAGTTATATTCTTTTAACTTTTCAGATTCCCGAGTCAGCAACTTACCCGAAGAAAATTTTTGTGGGCCCGTTCTTGAGTATCACGCGGGTAAGAGCGCCCATTTTGGAGATGAGGGCCCATACACACATGTAGATTAAGTCCCCCAAGTTTTAACCCTGAAACTTTTGTAAGTATCGAGATGAAAAATCGGTGCAGATGAACACACAAGCAAAAACATAAACACACACAGACAACCTCTCGACAATATGCGTTTTCTGCATTGCGTAGACGCAAAAAAACCCATAAAATGTGCTTTTTCGCTAGTTTTTTAACAGTCCAATACAAAAAAATCATTAATATACGACAAAATAAGATGCAGCAACAAAATCACTAAGCCATCAGTGCTTTTTTTGAATAACATAATGAAACCGTAAACTGACTGTATAACTGGTCTTGGCTATGAAAAAATAGGCTTTTGCGAAAAGTGCACTAACCGTTCTTAAAATAATTTTTTTTTTTTTGTGAAAATGCTCCACTTATTAGCGCTACTTTATCACATAAAAGCTGTAAATTGGAGCCCCGTTCGTATTCGTGCTCTACGAAAGGTGAAGGTATTCGGAAATATTTCAGTTTGTAGCAGTTACCAACAGCAACCATTCGTTAGCAAGACTGTCATTAGCCTCTTCTTTTGAAGGTTACTTAGAAACAAGCTAATGGCCAGTACTTTTGGGGTTCGGCAGTGCCATTTATCATCGAAACGAATAAACGAATCTATAGTTCACACTGCAAAAAATCACTATTATTTCAGTTTTTTTTTTTTTTTTTTAACAGGCGTGACTACAACCGCTAGGATTCGGAAATTTAGGATGTCAGAGACCAACACAGCCTGCATTGTATTGCATCTCGCTAGTGTTGTTAGTATAACCCTATAATTCAACCTACTTCCCTCCACTCACTAATTTCTAACAGTTCCATCAAATTCTAAATAATCCCGTATTACCTATCTTCTCGCCTTGCCCTCCTTTTCCCTCCATTTATTTTCCCTATATAAACTCCTTCTGAAAACGCTAATTTTTTAGTCTCAGAACCAACGCGCGTCACTGGTCTGTCACGTCCTGCCCTAATTAACGCTACTAACTGGCCATCTCAAATACGACCAGCGCCCCGGTTCTGCTCAGTAGCTTGCGCGGTGCCTTGGCTCGTCGTTTTGTTAAAGTGAAGCTCTTGCTGCAAATAAAGTGCAGGCACTCTTCGCTATCCTCTGTTGCTGCAGTCAAAGACCGCATGAGGACCTAACATAAGTTATCAATCGTTATTTTGAGCATTTACTAATCATTTCCATCAAACAATGTGTGATTCATTTCTATAAAAAGCCCAGAAAAAATTAATTACTTATTCGCGCATGCTCTTCCAAAAACAACAGTATCGAGAAGGGAATTTGCACCGAGTCGATTAGCGCCATGTACTGAATGCGCAGCTGTTTCTCCGCATGCAAATAATCCCGGTATCAGCTGAAAATTTCCTAATCTTTTGCCGATCCAGGGATTATCAGCTGCTTCAGTTTCCTTAGATTTGGTTTCACCACTTTACCTTCTCTTTATTTCTTTGATTTTATTTTTCTTTCTTTTCTAGAATAATCCTGAAACCCAATTTCAGCTTGGTAGATAGTGATGAGTTTTGATTTTCTACATCTAAAAAACAGACATATTGTGTTAGCTTGATCCATTTTTACATCTTAATGCAACACGAAAATACACAGAATGTTAACTACCTCGCAAATGGAATACATTGTTCTGAATAGCAAATAAATCATTTTTAAGCGACATTTACTTTCCCTCCCTACCATACTGTATACATGATTTCAACTTCGAAATAAAGAGTGATTTTTTCAAAATTACAAACGACCACATTAGCAGTTTAATGAGTAAATAAAGCTAAATACTTCATAAAGAAATTTATAATAATAATGTACAGTATGGTAGGGAGGGGAAGCAAACAACTGAAGAGAAATGTTTCGGTCTATTGAGTCACATATATTCCTATTCAGTACCACAACTGGAAATTTTGTTCCATTTTGGCAGCTTTTTTGTGATAAATCGACTTCCATTTCTCTTGCATTCTCCTTTCTCCAAACATTTTTGCTGTGTCTAGTAAGTCATTGATGACTGTTTAAATTCTACTAATTATATGCCCTTACCTGATCACCTCTTTCTTTCGAGTATATCAGAACTTGTCCTTTATAGTCGGTTGGTATTCCGCCCATGTTGTAATGCACTGTTGGAATCACAGGAATTGGCTCTTTTGTCGCATCAACGCCGGCAAAAATTTTGGCTGTCTCCAAAATCCCTGTACAAATTTGAGTTTAATTCAATTCTGGAACGTATTGCCTTATCATACTGCTTTATTTCTTTTATGCTTCTTTTAATATTGGAGGCTTTGATCGAACATGGGACCCTGGTTGTGCTGCCGACTAATCTCAGTTTTTCTGGAGTTCTGTATGCACTGCTGGTTCGTTTCGTAGATAATTTGGCAAAGAAATGTGTCAAATTTGCTGTAATTTCATCCATCAAATATTTTCATAAGCGCTTTCAGATAAAAGATAAATTAGGACTTTTATTTTATACCTAAGAAATCAAGATTGTCCGGGCAGTCAAAGTGAGTATCCACGTTGGTGTTTTTATCCGGATGCTTTTAAACACTAGACGCAGCTGTGCTAGGTCCTTCTATCCTATGCTGTATATCACCAGTCAGTATTCACCTTTCAGTTCGATGTAAGCGCAGCACCTCGTCAGAGGCTTCCAAGTGGTCGTTCACTTTCTTTCTGAAGAAATTCTTAAAGTTTAGTATCAAATTTCTGGAAGAATACCGGGTAATTTGGCGTGCAAATGATCAGCAGGGATGTGATGAAGCTGCAGATGAATATGATCCTTTTCTTTGCCCACTCCACGACCTTCCAAAATTTCAACAGTCATTGCTCTTGAAACAACGTCTCTGGATGCTAAATCCAATGCTTTCGGTGCATACTTTTTCATGAAACGTTCGCCTTTATTGTTTACCAAATATCCACCTTCACCTTAAACAAAAACAGTGCAATTTTTTTACTCAGTTGATGAAAGAAACTGCGTATGTGTGTAGGCATGCGTGTGTACAACTGTGTGTGTGTGCATATGTATATGCGAATATATGTGTGTATATATGTATGTGTGAATATATGATTAAATACCAAATGAACCGAATGGCGGAGCTTTCCAAAGTTCATGCATGCTCTCAGGATCTGATCAATTCGGTGTTAATGCCATCATTTTCGGGAGTTTTTCTGCTTTTCATTTGGAAAACTGGATGCATGTACGTTTGTATACTTGTTTTTACTGTCAAAAGACCATTTGAGCATCAAAGAATCATCATTCTTACGAATACTATTGTATGGATAATTCAACAAACAGTAAGTAACAAGATTTTGAGTCTAGTGCCGGTTAACTGGGTCCCAACAAAAGCGCAATTATTAACATGATAAAATTTGTAAAACTTACGATATTTTAACAAATAACGTCTACAACATGATGAATTTGATGGAAGCACAAATTAATGACTTGATGAAAGCACAAAATTTGTCTACAAACCTCGAGATCCTTCGGTAATCAGGCAGCCGACGCCGTAAATTCCAGTCGGGTGAAACTGGATAAATTCCATATCGGTGGTTTGTAGGCCGGCACGAATAGCCATTCCAGTTCCATCACCGGTAGTGCTGTGTGCGGTGGTACAGCTAAAGTAAGCCCGACCAAAGCCGCCAGTGGCCAGCACTGTGAATTTGGCACTATAACACAGCTGTATTGAGGTATAATTTCGTTCTGTATTCAGCAAACGCAAAAGGATGGAAATTCAGAGGTGATGCAAAGGAAATACAGGATAAATTCAGTAATAGTGAGTTGAGCGTAACGAGTCTTTGCCTGAGCTGGATAAAATATGATTTATCCAAATGTATCAGCTAGAAAGTACCAATATGCACAAAAAAGTAAAACTGATGCCTGTCAGTGCAAAATATGTGCACTTATTGTTGAAAAGAATGTCAGGATTGCCAGCGTGCCGGGCACTTGTCAAGAAAGAAAAAATTGCGAGATGTGGTGATGGTACAAAGCTGCGCTGCGACAAAATGTAAGTTGGTCGGAAATCATATTGTAGATGTAAAATTCGTCAAAAAAAAACTTCATTTTCAGAGGAATTTTGCCTAAACATTTACGAAAAGTAGTTTAGTGACGCGGAAAAAATGCGAAAAGCCAGGAAAGAAGCCATCTGTGTACTACCTAAACAAAGGCAGACGAAAAGGACTTATTTATGCTCCCTTAAAGACAGACATATATGAGAAGCGCTCCAAGAATCAGTCTAGGACAGAAGGGCCGATGGTTTAACACGTTGCATCCGGACGTGAAGACGACTGGGCCGGTTTCAATAACAACAAAGGAAACCTTCGTTCACAACATTCAGTGCGAAGTTGGTCCCCAATTAGCACAACAATTTCATAGATTAGAAATCTGCATAAAGAAATACGTATATATAACTATTGATTTCAGAGTTATATCTATTATAAATAAAGATAGTTAAAGCAACCTGGGCTATTGCTATAAATCCTTTGATATGAAATTTAACAGGCAAAAGTCAACATCAAGTTAAACACAAAGAAATATTTGAGAGAAGGAACCGGAATCGATGAATGGTTCCATCCTCAAGATTCATTGCAGTGACACCCACGCATCTTCCTTTATCCATGATAAGATCAAGTGCAAAAAATTCAATGTAATAGTGGCAACCGTATTGCAAAGATGCACCGTAAAGAGTGTGAAGCATCGAATGTCCTGTACGATCAGCTACCGCACATGTACTGCAAACAATGAATTATTAAGTCAAATTGATCAAAATTAGAGGAAAATTACGAAATAAAACAGAATTTACAATTTTCGCTGCAAACATCGGTGCAGCACTGTTGTGATTTTGATTTTCAAAAACAATCGTGCCTTCTGATCAAAGGAAATTGGCTTTTTTGATTTTTTTAAAAATTTTTTGGTCCTTTCTTTCATAAAAATCTGTGTCATGTGCAAGAAGACGTGTTTTTTTGCAGTCCATTTCTTATCCCTTAGCTGTAAACATAAGCCGAACGCTATATGTCGTCATACGAGGGAATCACCAGTACAGCTTCCGATTTGCCATGTGTGAAATGAGCAAATGGCAAAGTGCGTAAGGCTAGATTATAGAGAAAACGAGCAAGAAACGAAAAGAGAATGTGAAGATGTAGAAACGGAAGAGGATTTAATTGAGTAGCAATGTACTAAGTTCTGGATTTTGTTATCTTCAAGGAAAAAAAATATGCAAAAACCGTTTAGCAACTCCGCCTTTCCCGTAATCGTTGCTTTGACCACCGAACGATCGCTGATAGATTTTCCCTTCGGCTGTTCTCGAAAATGGCATCCCATGATTTTCCAGTTCGGTTACTGCTCGTACAGCATCTTTCGTTAAATAATGTATTGCATTTTGGTCGCCCAACCAATCGCTCCCTAAATTTTTGAGAATTTTTGCGGAAATCAAAAAAAGCTTATGTGTATATGTTTGTATCTAATGTATATGCGTGTATGTATGCGTGCCAAGAAGCCAAAATTTTGGAAATTTATGCCAGGCCAAATAACAACCCAGAAATAACATAAGCCATTTACGCACGCAATCTTCGAATTCGAATAAATGCTTGGTATTCCAATGCATTTAATAGCGCCATTTGCCATTTCGTTATTTTTTATGTCTGCTAACGGCCAATGCGTCAAAGCAACATAGATAGCAATTCATAAGACTTTTATACTATATATGCTCCAGTTATGTTAACGAGTTTGAACTGACCTTTGACAGTGTCATAAAAATGCCACTTCCAGTCGTCTTTGTTCATGCTGCCAATGGCTGCATTGATTCCACCTTGTGCGGCCACTGTGTGAGACCTAGTCGGGAATAGTTTTGTTATTACTGCAACCCTCAAACCTCCTTCGCCGAGACGTGAGGCTGCACGGAGGCCAGCTCCTCCTGCAAATTTGTTATCCTCCTCTCAACTACACATTCCCAAAATTTCAAAAATTTTTTAGAATTTGAAAAATATAACGACTGCCTGATTTGTCAGTGTGGGTATCCCTTGTCAGTGTTATTGGTTGGATAGCCCAAGTTACACGTTTGGCACAAATACGCCAAAGTTTTCGATCCTGGACTGCATACCTCCGGTTAGCATCCACTGCCTGTTCGGTATTTGCAACACTTCTTCAGGTGATGCCCAAGGCGTTGCAACACCAGCTTGAATTTAGGCCAGACATGCTCAGTAAATCTGTCTCGAAACCATTTATCTCAAACCACCCGCTTTAACGAAGCTAAGAAGTTTTCCATATATTCCTCTCTTTTTAACGTGTAACATCAAAATTTAATGCAAAATCCATTTAACTTGGGAAGAAAGAAAGCCTTCGACTTTCTAAAGCATAAAGAATGAAGTTCGGCGAGGAGGAGTGAGGAGAATGGGCAAGAAATAAACCCAGGCTAGGACGCATCAGGCGAGCCGGTGCGATCATGTTTTTTTGCATCAAACGTTGAAGTACCGTCTCTTATATAAGGGGAATAGGAAAGAAAGAAGGGGGTTCCACATTATGTCACCATTTAGCTGAGAGGGGGGTTTGGTCATTTGCGCCAATCGACGAATTAACGGCCCATCTCTACCCCGCACATTGACCAAGATGACTTCAACTTCCAAGCTTCAACCTGTATCGAAATGAGATGTATCGGCGTTGAAAGCGGTGATACATCTTCTTCCTTCCTTCTCCCCCCTCCCCCCTCCTCCCCTCCCTTTATCCCCGCCCTGGACATGCATCTTTTTGAAGCGGTGGTATTGGGCTGCAATATACTGTACAATTACAAAGCGGTACATTGTGAGTACGGTACGGTGCGGTATGCTGTTTGCATAATTTCTGATGAACGGTCGGATTCTTGAGCGGTCGGATTTTGTTTGTTTAGTTTTTGTTTGGTCGGTGGGTG